GCAACTCTCCTTCCCCCTTTCTTATATCCCCCAACCCTGCCTCCACTACTTCCTGCCTTTTTTCTCCTGCGCCCACCAAGGTTCTGTAATCATTAGTCCTTTCAAGTCTCCCTCCAAATTCCCCAGGTCATGTCCAGGAGGTCTTGTCTTCCAGGGTGGGGGAACTGGTGGGGTCTGGCTCTCTTTCTCAGCGGTTGGCGGGAGGGACGGCACTCCCGAGAAAGGGGTCTCTCTTGCTCTCCCTCCATCTAACATGATGCAATTTTTTTTCAATCTGAAAAAGAGAAACCCCAACAATGAAAGAAAAAAAAAAGTAAGGATTGGGGCAGGAGACTCCAGGTTGATTCAACTTGACTTGTATGAGTATGTCTTATAGCACAATCAATTTCCTGGTGAACAGAAGGGGTCCTTTAAGGGAGGCTGCTCTTCGGCAAAGTGACCCTTTTCCACTGCCTCTCTCATTCTACATTACTATGATTTCAGCCTGTAACTTGGAAGTGACTTGACAGCACATAACGTAACAGCAACATGTCTTAGGACTGTTTAATAGCATTTTTTGTATCCTCAGTGTAGGGAAAACTGCATAGAACCATATGTGAGAGTCCAACAGAATTCCATTTTGCTGTCTACCTGCATTGAGAAGTCTGCCTCTAGACTAGATGTAGAAAGCATGTTTTGTAACTTGGAGTGATACCTGAAAGACTGAACTTGCGTGTGCATTCAGGTCCAAATCCTGTTTTTAATTAGGAAATTGTGATATATCATGCATTAGATGGCAATACTAGTTAATGGTAGATTCTGCCAATGAAAAGTGTATGATACAAACTTACCCTGAATTAGTTGTAGCATTATGAATTTGGATTTGTTGCCACCGTTACAATAGTAGTCTGAATCTGTCTTGCAGCTGTTAGGGAAAAGAACCACTTTTTATGTTCTTTATTCCTGTGCCAACTGTACATTGTCTTTTCTCTGCTGTAACGGAAAAGTCATGAGAATATTGTTTATAGCAGGGATAAAAGAAAATATCACCATGGCTATCTTGACACATTTAGACAACCTTTTAAGCATTTTCCAAACTCCATTAGATTTGTCACCTTCAGCACAAGATGAAAAATATTCTTTCTTGTTTTCCACAATTGGTACAAAACTATCTTCAGGCAAATTAAGCATATTTTTTCTTTCTGAAGCTGAAAAGGACAAAACAAGTCAAGGTTTACATCTCCACGTTATCTGAGGACATATGTTTTTTTATTATTTTTCTTTATTTCTTACATTGAAATAACTATTATTTACTTAGTTATGTGCTGTCAAGTTGGAGCCAACTTATAGCAGCCCTAGTAGGACTTTCAAGGTAACGAAGAAGTGGTTTTACCAGTTCCACTCCTCTAGTGAGTTTCCATGTCTTTCAGAGGGTGTGGGCCCAAGTCATATAGGGCTTTATAGCCTATAACAAACATGTTGTATTGTACTTGAAAACAGTTTGGTAGTCAATGCAGCTATTGCACAAAGATAATTGTATGTTCCCTGTAACCAGCCTCAGTCCAAATACACAAGTGGACCAGCTGAAGTTTCCAAAGTCAACAATTATGTAAATTTCATTGATTCATGAATTAACTCTAGTTGGAACTAACAATTGGATTTTAGCCATCATTTTAGATAAATAATTTATTAAGTAGTAAAGCACACGTTTGCCAGTCAAAATGACATGTATTATTAACTGATCTGTATTTTACAGGTAAAAAAGATGAGTGTCTGATTTGCAGAGCTGCATGTCGTACAATAGTACTTTCCAAAAAGGTATAGAAAAAAAGTTACATGTGTGCCTATTAATTTTCAAGGTGCTTAATATAATTTTTTGGTATTACCTAAGACTCAAACTCTTGCAGCTACTTAATCTATTGGATTTTGCTGAAAGCTATTCAAAATAAATGTAATTCTGTTCTGACCACAAAAGCACTGCTCAGGCTTGTAGCTTTTTATGCCGGTGGTGGAATAATCAGGATTCTTTATAACAAAAACCTTGCTGTAATCATGTAGGGATTGGCAGCTTAAGCTAGAAGTGCACATCTGTTTAGCATGTCCAGTAGCCATGAATAAACCTCTCCTGTTTTTTTCTGATTTATATATCATGTATGCTAGTAGCCATTGTATTATCATTTCACCGTGAATTCGATGGTGAAATGAGGCAACTACAGTGGTGCCCCGCACAGCGAGGTTAATCCGTTCTGGATTAACCTTCGCTGTGGGAAACATCGCACTACGGAACACAAAAAGGCATTGGAACGCATTATACAGCGTTTAATACGTTCCAATGCCATAGAATACTCACCGTAGTGCGATGCTTCCCAGGGGCCGGCAGCCATTTTCGCGCCCTCCCCTCGCACAACGAGGGCGCCAAAATGGCTGCCATCAGCTGTCCGGCGGGTCCAAAATGGCCGCCGGAACAGCCGAAAGGGGCCGGGGCGCAGTGTTTTCGCGCTCTTGGTAAGCAAGGGGAGCGCGCGAAAACGCTGCCAGAAGCCCCGAAATGGTTGCGCGCAGCCATTTCGGGGCTTCCGCAGTGTTTTCGCGCGCTCTCCTTGCTTACCAAGGGCGCGAAAACGCTGCGCCCCAGCCCCTTTCGGCTGTTCCGGCGGCCATTTTGGACCCACCGGACAGCTGATTGGCGGGTCGCAAAGCGAAGGTCAGTAAGCGAGCAGCTTACCGACCTTCGCTCTGTGAATTACCGCCTATACGGGCATCGTTTTGCGATCGCATTTGCGATCGCAAAAACGGCCTCGTAGAGCGAATTCATTGCTCTACGAGGCGCCCGTTGTGCGAGGCACCACTATATTCTCTAGATTTAATGGAACTAAATGGCTTCTCTCTTTAAGTAGTAACGTGTATTATTTCACTTACATCAACATGTAGTAAATCACCCGTGGTACATATGGGGAAAGGATCTTCTGCTCATTCCTCTGAATAGGGCTTTAGATTTTTGCCCCAAAGTTCTGCCTTGCTAGCACCAATTATTGAATTAATTAAATAACCTAATATGAATTCTATAAGGAAGATACTTCATTTTGTTGCTTCTGAAAAAAAAAAAGAACATTGCATTCCTAATCTTTTTGAAGAAAGGAGTGGATGTTTTCCTGCAACTCAGCTTCTTTTTGAGATTTTATTTTAAAAAAGAGATTTTTTTTATTATCTTGGGTAACATGGGATTTGGTTCACTGCAGATGAATCCCGATATCCATTTTCTATTTATGGGAGTAGATGGGTTATGCAGAAAATACTCCAAAGAGCTTCAGCAAGTGAGTTATCTGTATCTATTTTGAATTATTTTCATCACATATGTACTAATTGTCATTACCACTTTGTTACCAAGCCACAAAATATTGTGTGGATAATATTATTAAGGAAGTTAAAATATAGCAGATAGAAGCCAGAAATGAATGTTATGTCATCATTTTAATGGAAGAATAATATGTTTTTTAAAAATATGAAACAGGGAGTAATTATGTTTCATTCTTTCTTCATACTGTTTTAAAAGTATGTTTCATAAAGTATCTTTTTAGCAGTGAACCAGCAATTGCTAAAAGAAATGACAAAATCATAATAAAGTAGAGAATGTATGTATGGATTTGGGATCTTAGCTGGAAAATTATGCCCTTCTGTGTATCATTTTGAAACAGCTGAATATGTGCTTTTAAAAAACAACCCAAGAATAAATTTTTGCTGAATCAACAATTTTTACTTGTATAGCTGAAAAATGCAAAAACCAAACATCTACCAAATGTTGTAATGTTTAATGTCTCCTTGTTTGGCAGTTTACGATTTGTTGATTTTGCATGGAATGACTTGTAAAGGACATGGTAAATAACATTAGGAATTTAATTTCTATTAGTTTGTTTTTACTCTTCTAGATATTTATTATAACACTATTATTTCTATGGTGTCTGTTACCACCCACCTACCTATTCTGATTTCCAGATTGCCCAGTTCCAGGAAAAACACAGAAGACAACTATTAGCACACTACCGAGGAAAGGTACTTTGAGCTCCCACTGAATTGAAATACTGTGTTTGAGGGTTGGGAAAGTAATTAAGTTACGTTTACGTTCTTATACTGTATTATTGAAAAATAAAATATTGATTAACTTATATGTTTTAATAATATTAAATATTATTTATAGTATAAAGAGATATGTGTAAAATAGAAAATATAAATATTTCATATACATGTATGTATAAAATTTACAAATATGTCATATATACAGAAATATTAAATAATATTAAATCCAGAGGCAGATCAGGCATGCTAGTCTCTTGCTTCCCACAGTGTGAATGGTCTCGATCAAGGAAAGGTGTATCCATTCTAGACTTCTGCTTCACTTAACAGTTGGAATGTTACAAGTGTGAACCACCAGTCTGTTACTCTGGAACAATCGTGTTAAAGACAGTTGAACTTTTTCAGTGTCTAATGGATGGCAACAAAAATCACAAAGGTTATATAACCAAAATCGTTTATTCCATACAGATTACAAAACTGGAAGAATATCTTAAGAAAGCAACACAGCACATTCATCAGACACCACAACTGCAACGGTAAACAGCATTTTAATTGTCAGCATTGCAACTGAACTGTGAGTATTGTGTGGGAGGATGGTTGCCCTGTTTGCGGGCTTAATGGAAGCAGCTATATAGTCAGTGATCTGGATCAGTGGGCCTTGAGACTGATGCAACACAAACTTTTTTTGGGGGGATTTATGTGGTGGTTTTTAGAAGTCAACTAAAAAAATTGCTTGCAATGAATCTAGGAAGATTATAAATTTGTGACAAAATTGCTCTGTTCAGTTTTTAATAGCTGAAATATTGTCTTTACTGAAAATAAGCTTAATTTGAACCCAGTAGAGTACTTCCCAGTTAACAAAGTGTAGGATCGCTTTGTTAACCCTTCCCCAGTAACATGGGTGGTAAAAAGATATTCAATGAGTGCAGAAATCTGGGTAGCATATCTATTAAAGATAAGTGCCATGAGGTCTTAAACATTCACAATTATAAATAGCAGTTGTCCAGGAAAAGTTTCAGTGGTATTTGTGTAGTTTGTACCATACTACTATTTGTAACCCAACAAATCAAATATAGCATGAGTCTGTAACTTGTGTTAGTGGCTTCAGCATTATTTTCATATTTGACAAACTGCATACTATTTCATATTGATTCTAATGTATCATTAGAGTTTCATCAGTGGAGGTAGATTATGCGCCATCTTCAGTGCAGAAAGTAAGTGCCTTTTCTTTATACAAATATTTTATAGTTATTTGTAACTATAATTTTTTCTTATAAATTTGAATGGCAAAATATTTAGGCCTGCCCTGGCTATTAGCCAAAATGAGATGGTTGCCTGAAATGATGGTGTGCTGGAGAGTTCAGTGAAACACAGAGAGTAGTGAAGTCCTCACCCTAAACCAGCCTTTTTCTTCCTGTCCTTGGGGGTCACCTTCATACCCAGTGCTCATTGGTCAGCTATGTGAATAATACCTGGCCTCAAGGGTCATCATGACCAAGGCATTATGGAGAAGGGGAGGGGGTAGACATAGTGGTGGTACTTCTCTTCTAGCCTGAGGGGGTGGTATTGCTTTTGCTGGTGCTGATTTTTTTGCCAGTGGTTTACTGAAGCTTTACCAATAATATTTTGAAAAACAGTTTGCTATGAGGTTAGAATGACAGAGATATTCCTGTGTCCTAAACAGGGTCAAGCTTAATGGAGCTCTGGCCAATGCATTTGTTTAAACCAAGATTTTTCTCTCTCTTTACATACTGTGTTCTGGGATCCAATTTTTACAGCAAAATGAATAGGAAGGCTATTAAGCATTCTACTGACTGTAGTATATCTATCCACAGTTTGTTACCCCTAATTTTTTTTCCCCTTGACCAACCAGTAGCAGAAATTATCTTGATTGGGAGAAAAGTGCTTGGTGTGAACAGATCATGGACATTTTAAAACAACTTAGATGCAACACCTCTGTTTAGTGTTAGCTGCAGGAGCCATAGTCTCTTGTTTTTCCCCTCTGCCCTTGCAGTAACTCAGAGAAGAGCAAAAGTTTCTCCTTCTATTATAAACTAACCACAGATTTCTGTTTCATCGTACAAGGACAAAGGATGGTTACTTTAAATCATCAGTGGAAAATACTAGATCCTCTGAATATTGATAAACTACCGTTTCCATCATCCTTTATGGTCAGCTATTCTGGCATGAATTGTTATGGATTAGAGTGCAACTCCATTTGGAGGGACATAGGTTCTCCAGTCTTTTTAACTGTAGCTTATCGGAAAAAGTGAAGATTGAATTGTGGTTTATTTTTATTAATTCACATTATTAATAATCTTTCTGCTGCTGAAGAAAGCCATGAGTTCCTAATGAGCTAAAATGTTTCTGGTTCACCAGAGTATATAGGAAATGAAATTACAACACTGTACTTACTCATGCTATATAATTTCTTGTGCTGTCAATACCTAGCCTGAAACAACAGTTGGAGCAACAAGGATATCATTGATAAGCCCTCCACAGAATGGACATATGGGTAAGAAGATATAGTCATCTCTGCTTTTTTTAAAAGTAGGAACAGAAATGCACTGGTGGTATTCCCTGAACATGTTTCTTTTTATACAAAGACCTCACCCTCTAATGCCTGCTACTCTATTCCTCAAGAGAAAAAACGCAGGGGGCAGTGATGGCATAGTAAGCACTTATGACTCTTTCGACTGTGGGAGAGGCTTCCTTCCCTATTATGCCCTGCATCAAAGCAGAAAATAACACTGAAACTGTCACAATGGCAGATTTTAAATAAGGTTTTCAAGGTGGCATTGCTTTGCTGCATAAGCAGTTTTTTCTATGCACCTGCAACTTTTGTCATGTTCAGCACTGTAGGCTAAAATTAAGTTCTGTTGTGTAGCTCCCCTCAGTGAGGAAAAGTTCATTCTTTCCTTTTGAAGTTGCTCGAAGTTAAAGATGTAGAGAAAACAATTGTACCTTTGCAAGCTTCACTTGTAATGAAGCTATTATTGATTATTTTACATTTTCTATCTGGTCATCAACAGTGCTTCAGTTTGATATCTACGATAAACCCCGGAAAGGGTTTAGTATGAAAACATCTCAGTAGCTATAACAACCTCCAAGTTTGTTTTTTAAAAAGGACTGATGGGGAAGGTTCTGGACATAAACAACACTTATCAGAGAGGGATAAAACTGCTGTTCAGATCACTTGTCAGAGGAAAGCATAACAAAAAAGGGGAATTAGCAGCTTCCATCCTGGGATTATGAACAATATTTCCTGTTAGATAACTAAAGAAACATTTTGTTGAAAGAGTAGCATGATTTATTGATTCGCTCAATGTTATTATTAGGTAAAGTTCATGTCACACATTTTGGGCTTTAGATATACTACATTTTTACAAATGTATATTAATTATGGTGTTTTGGGAGCTATAGTCAATAAATTTCAGGTTTTGTCCATTCTAGTACTCTTTTTGACTCATCATTGTATAACTGCATGACACCCATACTAATCAACAATTTAAAGAAAAAAAATGTTAAACAGGAGATCTTTGACCTGCAAAGGAACTAATACACTGCCATCTAAAGTGCATAAATGGCTATCTAAGGGGGCGACTACACTGGCAAATACTACAGAAAGTACTCCAGAACTACATGCTTATATTTATGGTCTCTTCCATGAGTATATGACATATAGCTAAAAGCCAGTCAGCCTGACCTCCCCACTATAATTTGTAGTTTGTGGGCTCTAACACAAGGGCACATGGAATTGCAGTGAGGAATGGTGAGGACACTTGGAATGAAGCTATTACGGATTATTTTACATTTTCTATCTGGTCACCAACAGTGCTTTCAAACCCCAAGGAGGTTTTGACTCAAATGGTTGTACATCTGATTCAATATAATTTAGATGCAGACTGTAGTCACACCCTAAATGAACAGTGTTATTAGTTACTGTGTAATTTTTTAATAAAATCATGTTTCATTTATAATGCTCTAGTCTATACCTTTTTCTAGACTGTTGCACAATTAACTTTTCTTTTAGTTTAAAAAAACCTAGATAATAGTGAGATACCTAACCGACATTTTTCCTACAACTTCATTTTTTTAAAATTATGTTAGAATTGTATATTTCTAGAAATGTCTTCAAAATAATGAATTAGCTGAACTATATTTATACACGTCTATAAATCTACTTTTAATTAACTGAGTTCCATGGGGCTTATGTCCTGCCTTAAAGTTCTAATATAATTAGGAATATGATTTACAGGTAGTGTTGCAAGCAGAAGTTCTCAATTGTATGGAATGACTTCATGTCAAAAGACTACATCAGGGTCTGTAAGGTAATTAAAATCAATTTTGCAATTTGATTCAGCTCTTGACATGAGTGGGCTGACTCTTGTTTTCTTTTCCCCTTTTTTGCTTCAGTCATACAGTATACAAGACACTTTTCATTCTAGTGAAGAAAACATGTCATTTAAATCAGCTTTCATTGGGACAACTGTCTTTATGCTCACCACCCAACTATTTTTTAAAGTTTTCAAACTGGTCTTGTCATGTTTGGCATCAGAATCCAGCATGGTTGGACAAGTTCAGTGATTCACAGTGTGAGCCATTATAGCTGAATCTGACCTCCTCTTTAAAAAGATATATATTGTAAAAATTGACTAGGGGCTGCTTTGAGAACAGGCAAAATAGTATTTGCTTTAGCTGCCTTATCTAATGCCTGCATTTACAATTTTGGGCTCAGAGGGAATATGCGTTCTTCTCCACCGTCTGGTAGGCTTTGGCAGGGTATTTTCTATGACGGCACCTTGCCCAAAGCTCTTTCAACCTGGTGCTGAATGTTGTTATTTATATTTGAGGAGTTGTGATGCAGGTTTGAACCATAATGAAGCAGAAACACCAGGGTGCTTTTCACACTTTTGGAGATGGAGAGAAGGGTATTGGAAGGGATGGGGAAGAAGATTTCCTTTAAAAAAAATCTGTAATGCCTCCCCATTCTACCATATAGCATTAAAGGACTCTGCTTCATGTCTGGCTGTCAATCCCAAACTTGCATATGAATGTATGCATATGTGTGTATCACAATGCCTAGTTTTGTCCCTGGTTCCACCTATAACCTGTGTCTCTGCACAGCATTGGCTGCTGTGCTGTCCAACCCAGTCAATCACGGTGAGCATCAGTCACCACTGCTTCTGACTCACTGAGCTACATACAGTGGCCTGCAGCATCCCCACTCCGTATTTTTACTTCCTGCTGTAAAACACAGACTGATCTTCTGAAAATCTCTGATGTGTTCCAGCTACGGGCTAATAAAATCCTAGACCACGGAAGAGATGAATCAGGAACTACAGTATATAGCAAACCAATGTAGACACTCAGGATGGCACTCCAAAGTCATAGTACAAGAAGCAGTGCAGAGGGTCAGAAGTCCAGGCAATCCAGAACAAGAGATTCAGGCACACAGGAACGAGACAGAGGTTGTTAGTCAGATTGCTTGCAGCAGCTTGCTGCTGAATAGCCTAAGAAGGCTATTTTTAGTTTTGTTCTTGGAACCCCAGTCAGTACACAGATGCAGAGAAGAATCCAGTGAAGGGTTTGGCCCCTGAATCTCCTTAGGAGAAAGAAACCTTTTCTGAGATGATCACTTACTCATGAGGAGACTCCCTACAATTGAGCACTTCACCTTGAGCTTCAAGCCAGGCTCATGCCTTCAGTCTTCTTCACTCCCAAGGGCTGGGAAGTTGTCCCTCCTCCTCCTCAGATCAGCTCCTGCGCCTCCATCATCCCTATGCTCAGGCTTCTGAGTCTCCAAGGGACTGGGATCTGCAAGTTCTGCCTTCTCTGAGGGTCCAGTATGTCCAGGATCAAGTAGGTCTTCCACCCATCAGGCTTTGCAGTTCGTTAAGCTTATCCTTGCTGGAGGACTCCTCTGCTAAGGTTGTGACACATTGCCAGATACCCCACCTCTTAAGACATGCTCCTATTTAGTTGCCATTCAGCCACGTTTATCTCTTTCTTGTTTGCAATTTGCCTAATAATACAATTTTCATTTTATTATTCAGGTTGAAAAAAATAAATTAAAATCAATCCTCATTCACTAAACATTCTGCTATACAACTATACTATGTGTTGAATGTTTCAGTGTGTTATACAGACTCAAATGTTATTCACTGAATTACTAGGTCATCATATATTAAAATCAATCCTCATTCACTAAATATTCTGCTATACAACTATACTGTGTGTTGAATGTTTCAGTGTGTTACACAGACTCAATGTTATTCACTGAATTACTAGGTCATCACCATTAAGAATACCAAAGAGTGGGACCTCCTATAAGTCATCATTTGTGTCATCACAAGGTAGTCAAAGTCACATGCCAGATGGTTTTGGATCAAGAACAATGCAGCATTACGAATGCACACCACAGTCTTCACTTGTGAGACCCTCAATAGCGCTGGGCAGTCTTTTACAAAGGCAACATTTAGGTGAGCAAATTCAGTGAGTTATTGAAATAATCACATCCAAATTAAATTACCATTAAGCATAAATTGGAATCTTTTTTTGATTGCATACAGCTGTGAGGACAGCCTGTGACCCTGACTGGTAGTTATTTGTGTACAATACTGTATTCTGCTGCTCTGTCTGTTGCCTTAGTGGCCTTCAACACTGGCTGTGCTGGCCAGGATTTCTGGAAGTTGTAGTCTAAGAACATCTAGGGATCCAAAGTTAGGAACCACTGCTTTAGATGATAGCTGAAACTTGATGAGGCCTGGCTGTGGATACTTTTCTTATGAAAGCAAGTTATTTACTGTAATGGAAATAATACATATGATATTGCAAACAAAATCCGTAGTCTAAAAACTGTACATCTCTGAAACATGCAATGTACATTAAAAATGAAACACTTTCATATTGTTATGATAAACAATTATTTTTGGGTATTCATGCTTATATAGAATTCCCTTAATTTTTAGTAGCTTATTTTTTCATTACCATGGCCATTAAAACAATCTGCTTTGTAACAAATGTTTTAGTATTTAACCTTTACTTATGGTATTTATTACTTATTATAATTCTGGATTTCTCTTTTTGTAGGACCTTGTAGTCTTCCTGGATATTCTTTTAAAAAAATAAATACATGAGCAAGCTGTATTCAACAAAAGAGAGAATGCTGTCATTTTATATATTAAAATGTGTATTAAATTATATCATACTATGTTCCTCTGTAAAGTATCTATTTTCATTAAAAACTATTCAGGAGGAATTGTTGTTGTTACTTTTTTGTGTGCCGAAGTTTTTTTCCTTCTAGAGAAACCAGAAGCAGGACCATTTGCTAGTATTATGTGTTTCATCCCATTTCAGAGAACATTGTGTCCAATTCTTGATCTTCATGACTGGTTAAAAGAATTTGAAGAAGCTTCACCACATGGGCAGCAATGTCATTAACACTTACTTGAGAAGAGGGGTAGTAGTGACAGTGGAGGGAAAAAAGCATTATCTCCATCGAGTTGTTTTGCCCAGCTTTGCTCTATATGGTCTGAACTTTGCAGGATGTTGGTAGAATAGTTTTTTTCTTTCACACTCATGTTTTGGAAATCACTGATTCCTGCTATGGATACAGAGCTGGATCTGCATTATACTGGTTGATATTATCATACCTTTCTTCCTTAGCAAGAAAGTCATTGCTTGCATGAGGTCGCCAATGTGTCATTTCCGTTCCAGAGCCTGGAAGGTTATTCTGTTTTTTGAACAACACCAATAATGACAATTTCCTAGGCAGCAATCCTGGATGGGGTGTTCTGGGAGCTGTAATCTAAAAAAGTAACTTTACAATTCTCACATCCAGAGTTTGAATTTCATTTCTGCTGGCCACCTGGCACAGATTTGCCTTCCTCTCTATTGCTAGACACTTTTCTGTATAAGTCCACTTTTTCTTTCTGTCTCTGAGATCTTCCCCTGTATTTTGTTAGGGCTTTCTTCCCTCTGCAGGATGTTAGAATCAGTCATCTTTTTTCCTCATACGAGCCTTGCAGTCTTTCTTACAAGAAGTTAAGTGTAAGCATATTACAATTAAATTCTGTGCAGGTTTACTGTGAAATAAATGCCAACTTAATTGGTCTTATATATGATTGAAGCCACAGAGTTACTGTCTCTTACCATTAAATAATCACTGTCTGTTCTCAGATTTGTAGCAAATTGGATGGTAAGGCTGCCAGGCTTTCCTCAGAGGTCTTGAGACTTACCCACCTCTTATTTTAGGAGTTAATAATCATTCAGTACTGAATAAAAGAGTATTTCAGGCTTCTTGCACAAAAAAAGAAAGAAACAGGCTATTATTTCAGTTGTGCATTATCAGATGAATTTATTTCACAAGCCAGAAAGAAAAAAGCTAGGGAAAGCATGTTTACATTTATTTATTTGCCCCCTTTCACCCCATAGGGGATCCAAGGAAACTCACAGTAACTAAAAATATAAAATAACAGTTTTTAAAACACTATTTAAATATATCAAAACAAATAAACATCTATCAAAATTAAAAACAATTTAAAGAATTGCATATACAGTGGGGTCTTGACTTGAGAACTTAATCCGTATTGGAAGGCAGTTCTCAAGTCAAAAAGTTCTCAGGTCAAATCTGCATTTCCCATAGGAATGCATGTTTGTTAGGGGATGACAGTTACAGTGTGCCAGTAACATAACCCATATACTTCACCCATAGCCAGCATATATCCACAAAATGATTCTGGCTAGAATATCAATAAACTGCTGCTATTCTGCCTTCGACCACTAGAGGGGGATATTTTGTTTCTTTTTTTCTTAGGTCAAGAAAGGTTCAGGGAAGGCAGGGAAAATACAGTCCAGGCAGTCCAGTACCAGGCAGTCCGAAGACTGTCTCCCAATCCACTCTCTAAACGCTGGGAGGAGTGAGGAAGCAGACAGGCACCCTTTTCACTGGCCAACAGTTAACTGAAAGTTCAAATTTTGCACTTTCCCTGCCTCCCACGTGGTTTTTTTCAGTTCTTAACTCAAATCTAAGTATGTAAGTCAAGTCAATATTTTCCTATGAGAGTGGTTCTTAAGTCAAAATGTTCTTAACTCAAGTCGTTCTTAAGTCAAGACCCCACTGTATGTAAATTAATAAACAACACAGGCCTGAGACGCTGCTTAAAAAAGGGGGCCAACCTGGTTTTTCAGGGCAGCATATTCCAAAGTTTGGGAGCAACCTTAGATGTAATAAACACAAAAAACATCAACATTAATGAGTATAATTTCTTATAGTCAACTGTCCCTTATTCTCTCACACTTTCTAACAGAAACGAGTGTTGAACTCCAACTGTTTTTCTTCCAGTCTTTGATTTATGGGCATAAATTAGCAGGAAATACTAACAGTACACCAAAAATGGTAACAAGAGAACAAAGTATCTGATACGTGTTCAATATATGTCAAAAGGGGATGAAGCAGACTGAATAACGGCTACAAGTGGCAGAATGCAAACACAAGTAGAAAATTACAATTGGAGTATTGTGCTCAGTTGTTTTTCTAAAGTATGGCCTTTAGGCATAAAAGATTATCACTTTTAGTTATTTCTGCCACTAACCTGAAAATGACTAGAGCAGTGGACAGCTTGTGACCCACTGAATGTTGGACCGCAACGCCCATTGCTACTGACCTGTTCCTGCACTGAAGGGGGTTGGACTTGATGGCCTCATAGGCACATTCCAACTTCATTCTTCCATGATTCTATGTTGCCCTCCCACAGATTAGGGAGTTGTTCTTATTATGCCCCCAAGTAGAAGTGATCCAGTGTTTAAACCAGAGTATATTGATCTGAAAATATGGAACATTCTGAGAGATGTGCAAATACTGCATATCCTTTGCCACAATCAACTCATGTATAGTTACCACTAAGGTTATTAAAATAGATTAAAATACATACTTTTATTATTTAATGTGAAGATGTTAATTGCTGTTAGCAATTAGGAATATCTATTTAAACATGAATTTGTACTTGCACTAGTGTCTGTGTGCACATGTTTCCAATTACAGTACTTTAATCCAAGAATTTCCCCTGAAGTGATCTGACAGATTAAGCTGTTTGCCTTTAAGGGGAACTGTAACAATGTCTTAAAAAGAGTAATGTAATAAAGAAAATGCACACTGGGAAAATCTTTTTGAGTTGCTGTTTATTAATCCTAAAGTTTATTGATATTCTAGCCAGAATCATTTCGTGGATATATGCTGGCTGTGGGTGAAGCATATGGGTTATATTACTGGCACACTGTAACTGTCATCTCCTAACAAATTATTTTATTTTGAGAGATTTTTAGATGTCAGCTTTCAATAGAACCCACAGAATGGCTTCCCGAGTTTTAGAACGGAATAAAACCAACTCACAAAATACGAACACAAAAAACTGCAGAAGTATATTAACAATTGAACTGTAGGACTTAAGGTCCAAATCAACAAACACACATAAGATCATATGTAGTGTAGAAAGATCTTTCTCTCTTTTAGACATTAGCTCTCTAGAACAAATTATACACAGAGACTTCTAAAACCTAAAAATATCAGGTTAGAGTTTTGTCTGTGAATACTGAAGCAGGAGAGGCTTCAGTGCTATCATGTCTGAAAGAGACAAGGACCGGTTCTACTCTGGCTGGTTTCAGTCGGTTCACTTCACCCACCCCCAGGGCCTCTAGCATTGCATTTTCATTTTCCCCTCAAGGGGTTCCGCTTTGCCGGTTAAAGATTAAATAACACAACACCAGAAGCTGAGGAAAATGGGAATTATGGCCATTAAAACACTTGCAACTCCAGAGTGCTGTGATTCAGGATTACTTCCTTTCCTGAAACAGAATGGCCCTGAAAACGTATCTTGTAGCCGAGGTTGACAAGCTTCGTGCTGACAGGCAAGACGGCAAAGATGAGGAGCTGATGTTTACCTTCAAAGGGATGCTGTATCCGAATCGCCCTTGCCACGCCGAGACATTTGCAGCCCTGGAGGCCCTGGAGGTCAGGAAGGATGATATGCTGATAGTGGCTTGTCCAAAATGTGGTGAGTACTTCCTTTCCCCCTTTGAAGGGGGGGGGGAGGCAGTGAAATGGCATTGCTTCAGAGCTTGAAAACGTTCCTTAAAAAAAACACAACTAGCTTCCAGAAATTTCCGAGTCAGAGTGGGTGTTTCCGAGCTGTATCACCAGCTGGCTGGTGGGACTTGCTGACTTGAATCAGGATGCAATCAGCATCCAACGTGCCCTAGGCACCCAGGCGGGGGCGGGGGGGGAGTCAGAAATCTGGCAAACTACAGAACACCCGAAGCAAGTGTAAGGGGTGGGTTCAAAGCAGGAGGCATATGTCGAGCAGCTCACCTATGGAGGGGGACAAAGCCAAGAGTTTCACTGTGTACACAACAGCGTTACAGGGATACAGAAGGCTCATCGTTTGTGGTAGAAAGAGCAAAAAGAAGAAAAGGACAGTGAGTACAGCTTGGATCCTGGCAAGGGCAGGCTTGTCTACACCTCCCCAGCATAATGGATATGGGAGACTGGGGTGGGTAGGTGTTTGACATAGATGACTTGCATGGTACAAAAGATGGCTTAAATTCCTGTCATAAATGTATGGAGGCCATACCTTTGCATTGAATTCCAATATTGCCATAGGTTATTTCAGTTTTTCACTGGCTGCCTGTTTGCCTTTTGGCTGGAGCCGCAGCGTTTTGTGTCCATTTGGGAGCTCACCCTGGGCTTCTCTGGTCCCCCATGGTAATGTTAGACCTGTGATGCTTGGCTTGCTACATGATCAGCTCCCCTGCCCCATGAGGCTCTGTTTGCCTTGCAGTTTTGTAGGATGTAGTCTCTTATCCTTCTGACTGAGCCTTCCTTGCCACAGTCTGACCATCTGAGTGTGGGGAACATATGGGCCCAGCAACTTGTCTGTGCTCATTATGTGTAATCCATAGAATGTAGGCTTTCTCTCTCTCTAAACTTCCAAAGAGTTTAGAAAAGTTACTGTTTTAGACTCCAGCTGCCAGGGACCATGCTGGATAGGGGTTCTGTCATTCGACAAGCAACTTTTCCTAGCTGTGTGTCCTGCCGTATTGTGTGCAGCCTGTATTTGTTCTGTGCTTTGTATGGGTGCCCCTCTTCTCTCCTCCCTGTCTGTATTATTCTCTAGAGCAAATCCTCCTCCTCGGTGTCAGCTTAATGGGACAGGAA